GCTATACTTACCTCTTGGACACCGCATATACCTACGAAAGGATTCCCTGTGCCGTGTCATCGTTATAGAGTAAATTAGAAGGCTACTACTCTGTAACAGTATGAAGATAGGGCTTAATTTTAGTTAGCCGTTACTTTAGATAGCAACAGTACCCGATCTCTGAATCTCTGATTCTCGTAATAATGGTATGATAACCCTAATTAATCGCAAGATCACGTGAGTCACTCAAATCATATTTTTGTTCAGCTTTGCCATTTTCAAATCATAATATATCTCGTCATTTATTTGTACTTCCTCAACCTTAAAATGTATTATATCTTAAGTAGGTTTGTAACAGAATTTTTCTCTTTTCATTTTTACCAAAATGACATACAAGCCTTGTATTTTATATATTCAATAACTTAAATATGGTACCCCATCAATAGATCTATTTGATTGGTTTGTCTCATCAAATGACCAATCAGATTCATTGTCGAATTTATTAAGTGATTTCTATAAGTAAGAGGGGGGGTAACGTAAACCACCGAATTAAATTGGTCTGGCCTAAGTGATGTGAAGAATAACAAACGAAACATTCAATAAACCAACCTTTTAGCCTTTATATGAGATAAACAACAATAAATACTAAAATAACAACTACACTAAGCGTAAAAGAAAGCACTATTACTAGTTGTTGAAGCGTTCGGGTATATTCGGGTAGTGAACTATTGGTTTGCCATTTGAACGTTTGGTTATATAATGGGTAAGGGCGAATTCGGAAGTAATTTTTCAGGAAAACAGCCTTTTTAACATACTGTTAGCTGACCGTTTTTGTAAAAACTCACCTTGTATAAATTTTAACGACAAATAATTCTCAATTATTATTGGCTGACATGATCATACTCTGTATTTGAGCTTTGTGCTTGCTATTTCGGAGCTAATTAAAAAATCATTCCTTTTTGTAGGTCTGCAGAATAAATAAAAAAAAAATCAAGGAAATGAACAATACAAATTGAAAAATTATTCGGAAGCCATTAGGCCATACACAAAAGCTATAGGTAATTTTAAGTTCATCCCATTATTTTACTTTGTAGAAAATTTACAAATATACATACCCTAACAATTACCAGAAATTAGCCCATCCGCCACTTACCATATTTTCGTGAAATAACACGCAGGGAGTTATTTTGCTCGATTGATGGTTGGTGATTTTTATGGTGCACTAAAGGATTGTGAGGATGCACTTTTATTAAAAGAAAATAATCACAAGACTCTCTTTCGTGCTGGAAAATGTCATTCTGTACTTGTGATTTGACTAAAGCCATTGAATACTTTTCTTTAGTCCCTGATAATAATGAAGCAAAATCTGAAATTGAAAAAATACAAATTGTTAAAAAGCATATTAATGAAGCTGAGGTACATATAGAGAAAGGTGAATATAATCTAGCTATCAATAGTATTAAATTTAATCATAAAAAATTGATGCACCACTTAAACAAAGAGGCTGAACAAGTTTCTAGAGAATTATTACTTGTTGATCCAAACGCGTATGTAATTCAAGCTGAAATTTTATATCTTGAAAGAAAATATGAACAAGCAAATGCATGTTGTCAAAACGTCTTACAGTGCAATCCAGATCATGAAAGAGAAAAAGAAATATTGAATGTAAGCTTCAAATTAACATCAAGTTGATAATTTAATAAATTTTTTCGTTAAATGTTTATACTGTAACTAATCGTTTTTCATACTCTTCTTTCTCATTTGCTGAATTGATTAGAAACCTTCGATCACTGTATGCATTCAAGAAATTCCCGATGTGTTGTTCCAAAAGAGAGATAGTTGGTCAGAAACTTATATGAATACGAATACTGAATTAAATGTAACGTCTAGCAAGTTTGGTATTTACCTCATCTGCAAGTAATGAGTATTTTGTCACTTTTATCGTGACAAAAAGCTCTTCCACAACGCCTGTATATCTCCCACAAAAACATTAATCAATGAATCTACCCCCTAACGTGACTTAAACCTAATCTAAAATAACCCTAACCCCTAACCTTAACATCCCAATTGGTTAAAAATCATGAGGGGGTAAAATTTTTGTGGGATAGCTACCGTATATTTCTTCCACTGTCAAAATAACTGTCAAACAAAATATGCATTCATTGGCAAGATGACTTTCCCTTGAGTGAAAATGTCAATTATCTGACCAATGTCGATGCAGAGGGGTTTAATAGACTAAAGTTAAAAGGGACATTCATGAATGATGGTACGACATTATTCTTACATATAGTACTAGATTATAGTAAATGTCTTCATTTGTTTATTAAAGAAAAAATAAAAATGGTTCATGGAAAGGGAAAAGAATGGGAGTTTAATTGTGGTGACTACATGCTCAGTGATGATGAGAATTACTTCGATCAGTAATAAAGTCTACTGGAAATACTAGGAAAACCCATTATATCGTCGAAGCGTTTTCGACAACTACTTGGGAGATAGTCAAAAGGTGGCGAGCCGAATGTCTTATTGGAATTATGATGCCACATATCAAACTATCGGATCTTCTTTTTTAACAAGTCAATGTATGTTACTGTGTCAAACGATAAACTTACACAACGATATTTCTGCAACTTTACCTATCGGAGAAATCACGAGCTGTGTGGATAGCAAAAGATGATCAACAGTTTGTAAATCTTCCATCAAGGTGTGCATCCTTATATTATTGGAATCTAACAAATCCAACCTATAAACCATTACAAGAACGTGCCTTATTAGGAGTCGAATACATTATTTTAAATTAAAAAATAATTCTGTTTGTATTAGGTTCCTAAACTTTAAAAATGGAGCCAATTATCTGTATATACAAACGAATAATCCAAGTTTTACTGATTATACTGGTCAGAGATGGGGTTTACTAATTTCTCCCCCATTTTCTATTAAACGAATACAATTACATCACTAGTTAGGGTGGCTAAAAATTTCATATAGCCATCTAATGCGCCGCAATTAAAGAATAAAAATATTATTTCGTAATGATTACATATTGATAAAAAATTTTTTTAAATAATCCTTTTCGCTGTTTAATATTTAACGTTTTGTTCTTTTGAGTTTTAGCACTTCAAAGTTTTTTTAATTTCGTGTGAACGATTAAATAATTTTCGCCAATTTTATCGAAATAAAAGTTAAGCGAAAATCCGAAAACAAAATAAGTGTTAATTATTTTTTTTATTATTTAGCAACTTAGCAATAACATTTATTTTCAGTATTACTAATTAGCAAGTTAGCACCCATTGTAGAATTGTATCAGGGTTACTGTACAATTTCAGAAAGCTATTTTCCCGAAAGTACATAATACTCACTAAATATTTCCTTTCGGGAAAATAGTCTTTGAAGAGCTTGAGTTACATTATTGTATTAATTAATTAACAATTTGCAGTATTGTATCAGTATCAATAAAAATGAACTTCAAACATTCCAAATGTTCGTGCCAATTATTTTTTAAACAAAAGTAAAAAATCACGGCCCAGAGAATATTGTAGTTAAGGAATTTTAAAGAGTTGGGTATATTTTAAAATTACAAGCTTGTAAACATAGGTCTTGGCAAAATTTATTCTCTTGAGAATAAAAAATTTTTTAGACTATTTCGATTTTTTTTTTTTACTAGCAGAAAGAATTCTGATTTTGAGGCTGTGCCTAGTACCCTAAAAAAATTCTCAGATCACGTGCCGTAGATCAATTTTTATGGATTTCTATTGGACGCCATATCAATAACCCTAGATGGTCTAGTTTTTATAAATAAAATTTTTTAAAAATTTGAGCGAAGATATCTTCACAACCAACCGACCAAACTCATTGAT